CACACTCTGTCTGTGCCTCACAGAGTTCCTCCAAAGACGTACCTCTCCATTTCAGGAAACATCTGTAAGATCTCCCTCTAGCACCCTACTCTGGCAAACCTTTCTATTCTTTAAAAATACAGAATTTAAAGGTTGTTTTTGTTTCTCATTAAATCCTTTTTTCTACACAGTAAAAAGACACAATGGTCTAAAAATGAACACCAATCTGACTGTCAGTCAGTGAGCTCTTCCAAAGATGTACCTCTCCATTTCAAGAAACATCTGTAAGACAGATTTTATTATTTTTTCATCTTTGATGGTGAATTTTCTCTCTTATTTCTTCTTTTATGGTGCTGCTGCTGCTGCTGATTAGTATTAGTAGTAATAGTAGTAGTAGTAGTATTTATTAATTTATGAGTGATGGATTTTAGACTGGTATGCCTGATATTCTAAAGGATACCTAATCTAACTTTAAATGTAAACTCAGTGATGTTGTTAGTTTGTTGGATTTTTAAAAAAATGGATGAAATCTGCTGACTGAGTATTTTAAATTTTTTGTCATCTGTTTAAGAGAAATGCATTTTTTTTTCTCAGTCAGGAAACACCGAGGTCTGTCTGTGCATCAGAGAGTTCTTCCAAAGATGTACCTCTCCATTTTAGGAAAGATCAGTAAGGCAGATTTACTCACGGTGGTGGATTTTAGACTCAAATGTCTGACGTTATGGTTCCCATACCTGCAAGATTCTAGTTCTTTTTTATTTATTTTTTTAATTTGCAGTACAGAAGCCCTATAGAAAGCTTGTTGAATTTGTTTTACAGTAACACAGTAATATATACCAGATTTTAATACAATTTCTTTCTGTGGTTAAACCTTCATTAGTGACAATTTTATTAAAGTTAACTGTGTCTAGCTGGAATGGGTGAAATGTAAACTTTTATCCTTGCATTTTTACTGATAAAAGGGCCAAATAAAGCTTGAACATCCTAGTCTTATTGTTGTCTTTCAGAAAAGTATATGGAATGCCAAAATATTGGGGTGGACACATGGCTGGTGTTGCGAGTCTTCCCAAGTATGTTTTAAACATTGAAATATAGTAGACAGTATGCCACACAGCATGTCTGTTGAATACATAAACATACATACTAAATACATGCATAACATTTGCTCTTTGCAATGATTTTTCAGGTTAAACTTAATGGGGCCTACAGCTGCTGTATATCCAGTGAAGACATCTAATATCATTGAGGAGGCTAAATTTTTTCCATGTTTGCTGAAGAGGACTTCCATTGATGATCAACCCCAAAATCAGTAAGTTTTATTTGAAGCTTTTTGAACTTTTTAAAGCAGGTTGTTGTTAAAATCAGGTTTGAGTAGCCACCAAAACGTTAACTGAAAATTCCACCGAGTTAAGAACAACTGACACGTATGTTTGCTAAAGCTAGGAGTATCCAGCTCAATCTGCTCATGCATAAATTTAATTTTGACATTGAAAAGCATAAAAAAGATCCAACCCTCAGTTGTTGAGTAAAGCCATCTTGGTAACCAAGCTTGGTACTTCAATGTGTTTAAGCTTGAAAGTCTTGCCCACCTTGTTCATAATTGTGAATCCATGATAAGAAGTAGCTTAACAAATGATGTCATTATTCTTTCAGATTGGAGACTCCACACTGGGACTATTTTGAACAAGAGACAGAATCAACTTTTGAGGACAACAAAACGTACGCCAGACTTTATCCCCAGCAGTTTAAATATGATTTGCTGATACTGCTTACAGACTTTTTATTGGTGTCTGGGATACCCCCAAACTAGGGAACACATGTGAATGTGCCTTACCTGCTCATATAACAAAATTTTGAGATGGTTGGAATAACACC